TCTGAGCTTGGGCAATATTTCGAGATGTTTGCGCCCACTTGACCGACTAGAGGTCAACAAATAATACCAATATTAAGTGCTGCTCTTCTAATTACTTGTAAAGATTCCCTTCACCGTGGGTTGTGTTCTGATGTTCGGCTTTCAATTGTGGCCTATAGATCTACTCAATAAAACACAAACAATTAAGTTTTCGGTCCACTTCATCCCAATATTGTTATCTGATCATTACCGAAAATTATAGGCGTTGTCTTTGACCATACCTAGATCCTCATGGAAAATATAAAAGCGATCAGCGCTATATTTCCCGCCTCTATTGTGGTAATGTTTAAAAGACGTAAGCACCTGTAAATATTTACGAGTAACTCCCACATCTGAGTACATACGACAATATACACGGTATCAATTTAAAGGCCAACCACTCCTCTTGGATATACTATCGACTTCTCGGGTCTATGTCCTTCAGGGAAAAATATATTCGCTATAGAATTCAAATTTTGTCATATTTCACACAAATGTCAGGGTCCTTTTACACCCGCTAAATATTGGCCGATCTTTATCAAAATTGGTATGCTCATTCTTTGGCCTAATCACCTTCTCCATTTAAATATTCGCGATGTTTGTGCCATAATTACGGCCTCTGGAGTGAGTAAAAAATCAGACAAAAATAAAGTTTTTGGTTCATTTTATCCCCTAAATATTAACTGATCAATACCAATATTTAGCGGCGTTACAAACCCTTAGGGATGTACAAACCTATAATACCCTGACAAAATAGTAGTGTAGGGTTTGTATAACAAAATTTTTAAAACATATAAATTTTCATTTGCATATTATGAATTATCCATTAATAAGTGCATTTTTATTATTTTTTAATAAAATTGGAACATTTGTATTAAAAAATATTAATTGGATGTGTATTATCCAAACTAATAGGCAATGTTTTTTCCATAGTTTAATAAAATATCCCATTATACCTTGTTTATTGTACCATGGATTTAATTGTTTGTTACATTAACAAAAATAGATTTCACACAAAACAACTACACAATGACAATATGTGTACTTCCGTGGTCATTCACACGCTTATAACATTTATTGTTTATTAATTATGTTAGTCACATAAATATATTCCCCCGCCCACCAAATAATAACAATTTAATTAGCAAGATGTTAATAATATATGTATGTACACATGTAGATCATTGACATGTTTAGAAATAACAACAAATATTCGATTATGACTTTTGGCATCTTGATTAGATATTTGTGATCGATAGGAAGAATGGGTTATTTGGTAAATACGCACAAACATAAATATATGTGTGTATATAATTCGACAACTTCTTAAAGAGTTTTCTATCATAAACGGATAACGTAATGAGAAAATTAAATATCTATTATTTATATAGAAGTTATCTTGTCTGGAGGTCGGAATCTAAATCAAAATGTAAGCAAAGGCCAATGAACTCTTCAACGATATTTGCAATAATGTCCATGATGATATTTTCATCTGTGGTGCAGATATATTTTATATATGCAGGTTCGACCTTCAATTAAACCTTCAAATATTTGAAAAACAAACATTGGCTTTATTTATTTAAGAAAACATTTTTTTATACGCAAAAATGTCATCTCATGTTCGGCAAATTGCTCCCAATTTTCTATTACCTTCCACAATATTCTTTGCAAAAGAAACTTCCCACATAACAACACGATTTAAATTTATTAACACATTTAAATCACATTTCAATAATAACAACAACAGCAACACCAATAATATCAAAATCTCCAATTAAGTTATCAACACAACAACAAAATTCAATGTGATTGATCACAAAAATATTGATTTTTTAAATTAACGTATTTTTGGTGATAACAAAAGAATTCATGAAACGAAAAAAACATTGTTTAGGGTAGTTTTCAAGAAAATAAAAAAAAATACTTTCCATCATTTTATTGACATTTCGCTTCACATGTCAAATTCAATGAATTGGCGAAAATTTATTAGATAAATTAATTTATAATTATGAAAATCAACAGATGTTTTAAGAAAATTCCATATTTTTAACAGAAGAAGCAAAACTAATAATTATAATTAGCATATATGTAGATATAATGTTGTTGGATATGGAGCACACTAGGAATTAAAGTTACCCAATTTTTTACAATATTTTGCAAATTTATCTCAACTAGCGACATAAAGAGAGAGAAAAGAACAACAAGTTTTAAATCCCCTATTTTGTAAATTTTCTAGTAGTTTTTGTCTGCCACTTTCAGGATGATATTCTTAATTTATTTAAAAATGACCGGATGTTATATGATCGCAATCAGGTAATTTTCATATTTCTGAGATCAAATAATATTTACCTCAGGTATGCTGATGTAATCATTTAATGACGTTTCCATATTTAATAAATCAGTTGACATAAATCCAGTAATTTTGCAGCCTATTGTGTTAATATCAATATTTTTACCAAATAAAATAACTTATTAATATTTCTATTATTTCATGATACATTTTATAACATTATTTTTATTTATATATTTCTTTATACTACAAGCTTTTATATTTTTTCACACTTGTAAGATTATCATTGCAAGATCAATATTTTGATTCGACATCTCAACCCATTCGGGACTACCATATCCAGGTAAAATTTACATTTGAAGTAATTGTTCATGTTTTCTGTCTCTTTCTTTTTAATTATCGCACATTTTATATTATTTTTATTTATATTTCGCTACAAGCTTTAATAGTTTTCACACATTGTAAGATTGTCATTTCGATTCGAAAATTTCTCAACCCATTCCAGACTATACGTTTTTTTAAATCCACTTTCGCGTTTCACGTAAAATTCATAACTGAATGTTGAAGCAATTTTTCATGTTTTTCTGCTCTTGCAAAATGAAATATACAAACATACATATCTATACAATTTTCAATTCATTTCATTTCAAAATCGCCACAAATCGATCAGTATTAAAAACAAATTGAATATATAATATTTGTTAGCCAATACGTCATCAATAAATGACCACTTTCGCCATTTTTTACGATACGTTTTTGTTTAGAGGGAACAAAAAAATAAACAAAGATAAACCCACAAATATTCGCCAGCCAAACCACTTAAAATTGTTTAAACAAAAATTAAAACTTGTGCCGAATAAATCATAACAAATCGGTAGATGGAAATGGCTCTATTTGGCACAGTTGGAGATTTTTGTTATCTTGGTTATTATATTACTTAGTCATAAATAGTTTCTAGTGAAACTGAAGTTAATAGGTAATGAAATTTCTAAAGCGGATTTTCAGAACATCCAATTATTAAATAACAAGAACTACATTCAAAACAAAATGGTAATACATTAAAAAGTTGACATTTCATAAGTTAAAGATAATACATGATCATATTTTGAAGGCCAGCTGTTTAAAAATGACTGATGCAGGTTATAAAACATTTAGCCCCTGATCCTAATATTAAAACCTCTATCCAATCAATTTAACAAATCCCCTTATGTGCGTTTTATATTATGTGGATTTATGAAATCCTGAAAACAAATTACACCGGTTTTACCAATGGTTTGTGGAGTTCTTCGAAATTACACACAGGTTTTATTTGCACAAGTTATAAGTTTTTATTAACATGGTTTCGAATTTAATGTTGATCGAAACCGACGTGTCGCATCATCGGACTTAATCTAGGATTGGTAAAGATAATTGGTTGTGCAAGGTTTGGTTTAAATCAGGCATTCCTTTCGCTTAATATTAATTTAAAAAATAAAATGTTAACCCTTAAGGGCTGAGTAGAATGCTCGCGTTGAGCCATCCGTCGCGTTATATGTTATCGAAAATACAACAACCACAAGGAAACGAAAACACAGCGAATAATGGGAAAAATTTGTAACAGAAATTAATTAATTCGCATTTTATAATTTCACTACATAAATGTGTGCCATTTTATTCAATTTCGATGCTTGCGTATAATATGATCAGTACCCTTACTGCAAGAATTTACTAATTTTTGCAATTTTTTTGTTGGATATCTAAAAGAATATATTGTTATCGAACTAAAAAATTGTACATTCTTTTGTGTGCTGTTGAAATTTGAATTGTCATTTATTTTAGTGTGGTAAATGACGGAATACCCTGGCGGTTGTAGAAAATATATGACTCGATAGACCTTAATCCTGATTTTCAATTTTTTTTATCTAAGTCTGCTTTTCCACAGGCAGATTTTTATTTGGCAAATACTGAGTTTGTAGGCGAGAGAGGTGCGAGGAAGAAAAACCAAAATTTGCCTGTTCAGAATTTGGCGTACACGCAAATTCTGTTTAAAACAATTTTGTTGACATTTCCTTTTGAACCTATTCGCTTTACTGACACACAGCCGGCTTTTGTTTACAAACCTGTTGTTTTAATTTGTGCAAGTGAAATTTAATTTTTAATATTTGCAATTTATATAATGAAATATATAAAAAATAAATAAAATATTAAAAAATCTTTAAAATGCAAACACTTTTGACGTTTTTTTCTTTCTTTTGTACTTTGATTCGCAAATTTGGCAAAGAAAAATTTGGTAATCGAAAAGCAAGCGAAAATTTCAAAAGAGAAAACAAAAAATTTGCCAAATAAAAATCTGCCTGTGGAAAAGCAGACTAAATGCGATTTTTCCTTTTTATTTCAAATAGTCTTGGTTTACTACCATTTTAACAAATGTTCATTTATCGATTATTCAATTATGTATTTGATTACACTCCAGAGATCCCTGTAAGTGCGTTCCAAACCTATAGACCCCTTAAACAATTTAGCCAACGCCGTTGCACTCAACAATTTATCGGCTTGTGTTTTTGTGCGTGGTGTCAATACAAAAATTCGATTAATCGATTAGTCGAAAGTCGATTTACTTATCCCTAGTCGGAAGAGTGTGATTCTAACAAATCATTGAATATTAGCATTAAAACATTAATAAAACGTAATTTTTGGTAACATTTCAATGCATAAATTATAAATATAAGCAAAAATGCCACCGACCATCAATGGAGCACCACCGCCAAGCGATAAAAGACCTCAAAGGCCCACAGACAGAAAGTAAGTTTGTTGAAGACTTCAATGGTGCCCTTCTCACAATGCCGCATTTTTTTCTTTTCTTCCATTTTCTAGATCGGAAATAATATGCCGCGTCAAATATGGTAATAATTTACCCGATATACCATTCGATTTGAAATTCCTGCAATATCCTTTCGATAGTAATCGGTTCGTGCAGTACAATCCAACTTCTCTGGAAAGAAACTACAAATATGATGTGCTAACTGAACATGACTTAGGTGTTACCATCGATCTCATCAATCGCGATTTGTATCAAGCCGATCCATATGCCCAACTAGATCCGGCTGATGAAAAACTACTTGAAGAAGATGTTCACACGCCCCATGATTCGGTGCGTTCCAAACAGCATTCGCGTAGTGTTTCGTGGTTGCGTAAATCCGAATATATTTCCACGGAACAAACTCGTTTCCAACCTCAGAATTTGGAGAATATTGAAGCTAAAGTGGGTTACAACGTTAAGAAATCGCTGCGTGAGGAGACATTGTATTTGGATCGTGATGCCCAAATCAATGCCATCCAGAAGACATTCAGCGATACCAAGAACGAAATCACTAAACATTACTCCAAACCCAATGTGGTACCAGTGGAAATTATTCCTTTGTATCCAGATTTCAAGAATTGGAAGTACCCATGTGCCCAGGTTATTTTCGACAGCGATCCTGCGCCAGCTGGCAAAAATGTTCCAGCCCAATTGGAGGAAATGTCTCAGGCTATGATTCGTGGTGTCATGGACGAAAGTGGTGAACAATTCGTGGCCTATTTCTTACCAACTGAATCAACATTGGAGAAGAGACGTGTTGATTTTGCCGACCAAGTCTTGTACAAGGACGATGAAGAATATGAATACAAAATTGCCCGTGAATACAATTGGAATGTCAAGAGTAAGGCGTCAAAGGGATACGAGGAGAACTATTTCTTTGTTATGCGTCAAGATGGTGTCTACTACAATGAACTGGAGACCCGTGTACGATTGAACAAACGTCGTATGAAGGTTGGTCAACAACCAAGCAATACTAAATTAGTTGTGAAGCATCGTCCATTGGAGGCGAACGAACATCGCATGCAACGTTATCGTGAACGTCAATTGGAACCACCAGGTGATGATGATGATGAAGAAGAATTGGAGGAGGAGGAAGAAGAAGAAGAGGAGGAGGAAGTTCAACAAACGCCAGCACCAGATGATGGTAAGGATAAGGAAGAGGAACAAGTGCAGCGTGAAAGGAAATCTCGCTCACGATCCAAATCAGCAAAATCGCAATCACGTTCAAGATCAAGGTCACGTTCCGGTTCTGGCTCTTCAGATAGGTCACGATCGAGGTCGAAATCTGGATCAAGATCCGGCTCTGGTTCGGAGGGATCACGTGCTTCGTCTCGCTCCAAATCTAGATCACGCAGCCGATCAAAATCCAGATCCAAATCGAAATCCAGATCACGTTCAGCATCGAGATCGCGTTCTCGTTCACGGTCCCGTTCACATTCAGGCTCTCGTTCACGTTCAGCCAGCCGCTCACGATCACGCTCCAAATCTGCTTCTAAATCACCTTCCCGTTCTCGCTCTGGTACACCCAATAGTAAAGCTGGCTCCAATAAATCGGGATCTAGATCACGTTCTAACACAAGATCGAGATCCCGTTCAAAGAGTGGTTCGCGTTCTCGTTCACGCAGTGCTTCAGGTTCAAGATCACCATCACGTTCACGCAGTAACACTCCCTCAGGTTCTGGAACAGCATCAGGAAGCGGAAGTGGCTCCGAAGCAGAAGATTAAATAACAAGACCAGAAGTCAATATAAGATAATGGTAATTATAATCTAGAGTTTTATTATTTTATGATTTTGAAATTTCAATACAGAAACAAACACTCAATTTAAAAGTAATTATTTTGACTTATTTTTATCGGGCAATTCTAATGAAACGACACTCAATCGGGCTGATGATGTTTGTTTTAACTCGGACATTTCCGATTGGGATGATCGTGATGTGAACATTTCTACAAAATAAAAAGTCAATTTTTGTTCTCAATAAATTATATAAAATGTTTAGAATGCAAAGAGGTTACCTTTAGAAGAAGCATAGGACATCATATCAAAAGATGTATCACTGCGCCAGGACACAGAGCTGCGTGCTTTTTGTAGCATGTGAGGCATTTTCAGGCCACGATCTAATATTTGTCGAGCTACTTTTGGTCCCAGCTCAAAATCTGAATAAGCTATTTCACCCAATTGATTAAGAACATTTAAATTGCGTTTCTCCAACTCTCTTAAATCCAAATCTTGGTCAAACAACCGTAAAAATTCTTCACTAATGGCCCTCTGTTTTATGGCCTTTAATGCAGTTTTCAATTCACGTTCAGCCCGTGTTAGCTTATTTGCTTGGTCTTGTAATTCTTTTTGCAATTTTACTAGGAAATCTGCATTTTCAGATCTGGCATAGAAAGAAAGAAATATTAGTACAAATGAGAAAAATCAATGAAATTAAACATACTTCTTGTTATTTTCTTTTGTTAGAAGTCTATCGAGTTCATCTCGTTCTTTATATGCCTCCTGAGTTTTTTGTTCCAATTCGTGATATTCCTGTCGCAGATTTCTAAGTGTGTTAAGACATGAACAATAATTGACTTGTAACAGCTTTAGCTCTGCACTGGCTTCCTCTAAAAATAAATGTGATTAATTATATGTGCGCTAGTTACTATATTACACTATAACATACCTCCGTCTTGTATTTTTTGCATTTGTTTCCTATAGACGTCATTACTGTTGTTTAACAATGCCAAAGTGTTTTGTAATGCCTCGATTTCCTTTTCCGCCTTAAGAACCCTTTCGTTTAGTTCATTGCCCTCATCTAAAAGCATTTGTTTTTCTTGTGCTGTTTCCACACGCAATTGGGTTGCCGTTACTATTGACCCATCTTCATTGACACCCAACAATTTGGTTGTCAATTCAAACCTTGCCTTGACTGCATCAATATGTTTCTTTCTCTCAGCTATATCTGCTTTCAGTGTACTCAACTCTTCCATTTGATGTTTACGTTTTAAATTCAAGACATCCAATTGACTTTTTATTTCGATCATACGATCATTTATGGTGCGATTCAAATGCATTCGATGTTTAGCCAGATTATAGGCACTATCTTCGCATTTGTTAATTTCTTCTTCAAATTCATTTGCACGCATTTTTAAAATACTTAATTCAACAATCAGCTCCTGATTACGTTTGTTTTCTTCTTTGATTCGTTTTAGCCCACCTTCGCAATAGACTTGGGCTTCTTTGATTTTAAAATTAACTGCATCCAATTGAGCCATGTCTTTATTATAGGTTATAGTGAGTTTCCGCATATCATCTTCTAGTTTTTTATTCTGTTGTTGAGTGGCCTGCACACCTTTCTGTAATTTCGTGTGGCGTTCCTCCAGCTCGGCTAAATAAAATTGGTTCCGTTGTTCAATTTCTGGATCAATACAGCTGCCTTGTAAATGTAATATGCGTCGTTCCAACTGAAGGATTTTAAAGGACTGGAAGAATAGGGGAGAACATTTTTGCGATAGTAAGTTTGACTAAAACATAATCAATTTATGACTACGTAAGATTTTAAGTTAATCTCATTCTCGAAAAAATTCCATAGGTCCCACATAACGTAGCATCTGTTTTAAGACGATTGTTTCATAAAATAAATAATTTCCCATACTTACCAATTCATAGTTACATTCCGTTTGTTTTCTTAAATCCTTCTCAGTTGCATCTATGCTTTTTAGAATTGCCGCTGTTGTTGACATTATACCACGATTATCCACCTAAAAGACACACATCATCATAATGTCATCTAAGATTTTATGACATTTAAATTTCCTTACCGATAATGCTAAACCCTCTTCCCGAAACTTAACCAATTGTAATTGTGAACGATAGATTAAACCATTTATACGATCTGTTTCTTTATTAACAGCTTTCTGAGCTCTGTCCTCAACGTCCATTAAATCCTCCAGGGTCTGTAAACGTTGTTGTGCACTCATATTTTTATCGGACATAGAACGTAAACGATCTTCTAGTTTTGCAACAATTTTTTCTGCATTATCCATTTCTATGATAAGATCTTCTTTTGTTTTCATAATTCGACGATTTTCGGTACGTTGTTGTTGGACCCGATTCGCAAGATTTTGTAATTCTTTTTGTATAAGATCCACCTGTAAAAAGAATGCACATTTTTAAACATTTTGACCATATGAAACGAAAATGTTGATGCCTACCTCATTCGTTTTCAACGCCACTGCATCAATGAGTCTTTGCATTTGATCTTTCATATCAGATGTTTCGGAATTCAATTGCTCAATACCTGCTTCTACTTCGCGATTATTTGCAATGATTTCATTTAACTTATTGTCCATATGTTTTAGATCTCGTGCTGTCTTCTGCGACTTATTACGCAAATCGATTAAAGCCATTTCACTATTGCGTATGTCCTTTTCACGTTGTGACATTTGACTTGCAGCCAATTTCCATGTATCGACCATGGCTCGGCGTTCAGCATGGGCTGTACGATATAAATTGGCCGTACACTCTAAATTGCATTCCAATGTCTTCTGTTCGTCATACATGTGTATGAGTTTCTGGCGGCATTTATCAATTTCGGCATTTAGTTTTTCACGTTTCTGATTCTGTTGCTTGGCACGCATTTGATCATCCTTGTAGTACATTTCGATAAGTTGATAACCTTTACTGCCATCCTCCATCGCCTTACGCCATTCGATCAGGGCTGTCTTGGCCCATTTTATGCGATTTGTAAGGTTATCAATGTTTTGTTTACAGTTGGACATTTGCTCTGGAAAGGTAACCGTTAAGGTTTCAATAAACATAAAATGCGTTTTGATAAAAGACCTTACTTTCCGTATTTTCCATATATTTCTTGAAATTATTCCATTCTTTGTCGGAATTTTTTATATCGTCCTTTAACTTCGAATATTCCCTCATAGCGATCTTGTAAAGATGAGCCTCGGTTCGAACATCGGATTGGTAGGCATTTAGTAGTTTCTAAAATTCACCATTGTCAAACATTACAGCAATACCACAATGACCATTAAATTGGCCTTTCCACTGCAACTTACCAAATTATGATTGATTGTAATTTCGGCATTTTTCGAATGTTCATGTAATTTCTTCAGACGTTCCTCTGTTTGCTGTTGATATTCCAAAGTTTCCTCTTTCTTTTCCTGCAGCAATCGGATTTCATTCAAAAGTAAACGATTTTCATCGTTGGCCATGGGTATTTCAGACAGTGAATTCCAATTCATTGCCTGCATGGCTTTGCGAATCACTTCATCGTCCATTTTTGCAGTGGGAGGGATATTTAGGAATCAATTATAATGATTTGTTTAAATTTGTCAGAATTGGTTTCCTTTTTATTTGTTTTGCTGTTGACAAATTCCTTCGTTACTGAATCCATAAACAAATCGAATGAACTATAGAAACGGTTTGCTGTGTATAATAACGGTTTCTGCATAACGACGGCTCAAAACGTAAATGTTGGTCAACAATGCGCATGTGCTCTTCTTCAAAAAAAAAATTTGAAGTACGATGATTGAAGATTTTTAATTAGGAAAAATAATTTGGTATTTACTTAATTGCAAATGGAACCTGTATGCGATAAATTTCCAAATCAATATAATCGAAGATCAAATAACTCAAGCAATAAAATATAAGCAACATTGAGTTCATTACTATTTTAATAAATAATTAATATTTAATAATAAGAGACTTCCATTCCTCCCATAAGGGGGAACAAAAAATCATTTTTGTCTAATGTGAATCCTCATTGGGATTCAAGTAAGCCAACTCTGCATATATAGTAAAAAAACTAAATATTAATTTTATTTTTTAATAATATCAACATATATTTTTAATACGTAATAATAATATACCTTTTAAAAATACAAAAACATTTAATATCACTTTAACTGTTGCCATATTGACTAGTAGACAAAACATTTACAACTAATTCACAATATATTCTGTTCCACAGTTGCATTGTCTAAGAAAAATCTTGTTAAATCTCCCTCCACACCAATACCATTCAAATCCGGCGGACTATTCACCACCAATTGTGGTGAATATAAACGCATATTTTGTAATTTCTGAGATGGCGACATGGAACCATCATCGTGTGCAACATTTCGTACCGGTGATGGGTAATGTTGCTGATCCGCTATGTTATTACTATTACCAATGCCCAGCTTATTACATGATTCCACAACGATATCATCGATAGCTTTGGTCAATAAAGCTTGATGTTCATTTAACGTTGAACCCGGTGATTGGGATTGTGGTGGCAGAGATGACGTGGGTGAAGTAAGTCTATCATTGATTGTGGCAATTTCAATGCTGGCTGGAGAATTTTGTTGTCCACAATGTTCATGTGTTTGTTGTTGTTGCATTTGTAAATTATTTGTTGATGTTTCCAAGAAGGCCTTTATAAAATTCTCTGATATATGATCCAATGCATCGTTGGTGTTTGTGATAGTGGATTCTTCATTGGACATGGGCTGACATTTATGGGTACGCTGCGAGACTTTATAGCGAAAACTCTTTTGACACAATTCACATTTATATGGCATAACACCGGTATGAATACGAGTGTGAACGAGAAACGATACACGTTGACGAAAACTTTTACCTGAAAGACGAGATATAGGGAGAAAAAGAAAAAATATATCAGGAATACATTTGGAAATATATTAATACGAGCTAGAAAGTCTCTGGATTGGTATTTAATTGTATTATTATTAATAATAATTATTCATTTCAAAGCCAAGCCAAAAGGCTTTATGTGGCCAGTATACAACAAAAAAACTTAAACATAATTCAAGATCATAATTCTAAAAGAAAAAAAAAATACGAATAAAAAACATTTGGATTGGAACTACTTGGGATTAACATACAAAAAAAATTAAAGTAAATATTAAGTGATTACAATACAAAATTAAAAATTCAAATTTTTTATAAAATTAAGAACAATCCCCCCGAATCAGATATTTTCTGAGGACTAACAATATGGTCATAGAATATATACATTGCACAAGGGTTTTTATTACGTCATTCCCCTGGGTATATAAACTATGTATATTCGATCATTTTGCCGTAGTAACCATTCCTGAATAACTTAATAACTACAATGCCGCAAAATGTAACCATTAAAACTGCCAAGGATATCAATATGTTGTAAAGCACCTGACAGATCTCAGCGTTGCCATAAATATTTGTTATCAACAAAGTATGTGTTAAACCTGACCCCACATAGAGTGGGGTTAAATTTGTTGCATTGTCTTCTCTAATGTGGTTTAGGCCAGTACGAAGGCCAATATTATTTCCTCTAAATATCAAAGCAAACTAACGGTTATGTGCTTTTCAAAAATCGTTGCTAAATTTGCAAACCGAGTTGGTATATAGTATAAGAACAAGAGTTATGATCCTCGTTCCCAAATTGTAATAGGGTTAATAATTCTTTGTTTGGCAAGGTCGAACATAACACCGTTTTGAGTTTTTTAAGTTTTATGCCTTTTTATGGCGAAGGATCATTCATGTAAATGTTTTATTAATTTCTATTTCGAGATAAGCTACATGATCGAAGTTGCAATGAAAAGTAAAGCCAGCCAGATACTACATTCCCACCATTATGCGAAGCGTTTCGCCGTTGGTTAAGCGAATACAAATATCGTTACTTGATATGTTGCATTTATGTCGAATATTGTTGCGAAATTGCATCTACGAATTAAATTCAACGGTGTCAAGATTCGGACATTTGGCATCACACCAGAACATTCCTTTTCAGAGCAGATTTTTCTTGTGACGGACATTTTTCCATACAGACTACAATATTTTATCTTCAATAGTATACAACTGCATATAGTGCAAACTTAGGAAAATAAGGATGTGGCTTTGAACGGCTTTATTTGTTCATTTCGTCGTTTATTTCTTACCACAAACATCACATTTAAATGGTTTTTCACCACTATGGATCCTTTCGTGATTGTGCAATGTTGAGAGCTCTTTAAAAGCCCGACCACAGGTACCGCAGACATGCTTCTTTTCATCGCTGTGATAAAGTAAATGCTTGTGATAGGATTGTTGAAAGGTAAAGCTGCGACCACATGTTTCGCAGGTGTAGGGCATTTCACCTAAGGAAAATAAAAAAACTATAAATATCAACCAGATATGTAAATAGACAAAGTATTTCACCTGTATGCAGACGCTTGTGTTTTTTCAAAAAATATTTTGTTGTAAATGCTTTGGCACAGACATCGCACTCCCAAATCTTGGGATTATCTGTTGTGGTTGTATTTGCCGTTATTGTGGAGGTCGTCGATGCTATGCTGCTATTTGATGGAGCTGTGTTGGAGACAATGTTGGTATTGTTGGTCAAGGTTGTTTCTTTATCCACATTATTAGTGTTATTTGCTACTGTTGACGGTAACGTAGGATTGCTGTTGTTGTTAAAAACCAAAAGAACATTGGAGGTTGAGAGAGCAGTTGTATTACCAAGGCCAGCAGCACCAGCTGTTGGGACAAATTCAGCCGTGGGTGAAATATTTATTAAACTTAAATTACCCAATGATCCTGAGCTATCTATGGAAGCGGCCATGCTTGGTATGGCTGAGGTAAATACCGCTGATGCAGGCAGAATTGCTTGTGGCAAATTATAAATATGCTTCTCATTTTGATTCATGTGGTTATTACATGCAGTCGGAATATCAGTTGCTGCCCCAGCATTGCAGTTTGACGTTTTTAATTGTTTACTCTCTTTATGTCGTATTCGTTCACATATATCCAATTTCGGTGTATTATTTACATAGGGCAAACCCATTAGGTGAACAACTTTCAAATGCACCCTAAGAGAACCTTTCATTTTGAATACTTTTGCACATAAATGACACTTGAAATCCGGTTCAGTTTGCTGGGGAGCTGCACCGCAATTGGCATTTTCGGATGGTGTATTATAAATGAAATTCTGGTGGACCAAGCGCACGTGCATATCCCTCAGCTCTTCATTACGAAAGGTAAATTCACAAATGTCACAGGTTGCCGCTAATGATGCGGAGGCATCACCTAACACTCCTCCGTTGGAGATGATATTGTTGGCGCCCATTAATGTATTGGCTGCCTCTTTTAGTTCGGTTTCATTTAGCAATGCCACCTGTAATTTTTTATTCATTTTCTTTGTTTCCGATTTTGCCACCTTTGATTTTTTCATATTTGCCCTCAAGGGCGGGTCGGTTGTGATATTTTGTTGTGTTTTTGAGCATCCACCATCTGCTGCCGTTGTCGCTGTTGGGGGTGGTGGTGGGGTAATTTCTTGTTTGATTTTTGATATTTCATTGTCGTTATTCTTTTTGTTATTGTCAGCTATTCTGGTAGTAGCGGCGGCAGCGATGCCATCGTTTGCTGTTGTTGTCGCTTTGTCGTTGGTGTTGTTGGGGCTGTCATTGGCATTCATAATATTTGTGTGACTAAACAAATGTATGGTCAATTTATCCAAACCCAAAAATAGTTCATGGCATATGGGGCACGCTAATGGACCATTGGCAGCCTTTATCAGGCTACAGCGTAAGGCATCAATACTCGAGAAACTGGTACGATGGCACAATGGACAAAGCACTGACATTGAACACATTTTTGGCTGAGTTATAATTTTGCTTTTTTCGTTAATTATTTATTTTATTTTTTTTTAAATATGCACTTTATAAATTATATAATTTTCAATATTTCCACAAAAGTGTTCTTTCAGTTTGGGGGTTTTTTGGGCATTTTCGCCTCCCACAAAAGTTAATTAAAGTTTAGCAAGATATTTGAAACTGCTCTTTTTGCGTTTTCATTGCAAAATTTGTGCATTATTTTTGTATCGAATATAAATTACGGTGTGTTTTCTCAACAATTTATCGTTTTTAAATGAAATGCCAAGCATAATTTTCATCTTCATTTCATCTTAAAATTCATGAAAAATCAACAACATTCAATTTTTGTTGTTTAGTACAATGAATATATTTTTCAATATTCTAAAAATAATACAAAACTTAAGTACACATTTTCTTCTTCTTCCACTTGTTCACTTTATTTGATTTTTTTTTTCGAATACAGGCGAAGATCCGAATTGTATCAACGAACCAACCAACCAGACCGCCGTTAACGGAAAAATAAATGAAAAATCTTTCTCTCACGACTTTAGATGGTCTTCTTCGTCTTTTGCAGTTGGGAGCAAATGTCGATCCATTTTCTTTGACTCTTTGGCAATGAGAATTTATGGTGAATAGTCATCCTCACCTTTATTTCATTCATTGAATTTTCTTCTCTCTACACTATCATCATTGTGGTTTAGTTTCTTTTCCTGTTGTGTGTTAAATTGTCGTTGTTTTTCTATGCGTATGTTTATATACGCTTTTCCTTCTTCATTTTTGTGGTAAACAAAAAAGTGCAGTGTTTTCTTATTTTCAAAAAATAGGAAAGGAATCACGAAAAAATGCTATTTTTCGTAATGAGAGAATTTCTGTTTCTCAAAAACACATGCTTTTAGAAAGATCTACTCTCACCAACAAATGGTTCTCATGTAAGAAAAGAAGTGTAAATGATTTTATGTTGTCTTCTCTCACTTTTAATATAAACATTGCAATAATAATAATGTAATCAAATAATATGAAATTAAATAAAAATCTTTTTTAAAAAGTGGTATCATAAAAATAATACCATTAATTGTTAAATAGTAATTTTTTAGTAAATAATATTCTAAAACATTCCCATTGGGCATTTCCTATTTATTAAACCGTTGAACGGGAACATATGTTATATCTTTTCACTAAAAACAATAAGATATTGTATTCACATCGCGATGTGTTCAAATATTTAACAAGGTCTCACAAATATCCATGAGTTGTAAGTCTCCGTTGTCCGAACACAAATCAGTTTGATTGCTTTTGTTTAAGATAGCAATCGTAAAAGTTCTTCTCAAACATTCTTAGAGATGCAGCGAACTGGTAACGTTAAATGTGATTGTTAATGTATTATTAAAGATCCTCGATGGTCCCTAAATACTTTATAATTAAAAAATCACATTTAATTCTAGTTTTTCAAATTAATATTTTATTTTTATTTTATTATTATTATTTTATTTTCTCTTTATACTTATTATATTCATTATATATCGATATAGTACGTTATAAATAATTTATTGTTTGTATTTATTTATATTATCTGCATGAAAATTAAATTAAAAATATATGTAATTATAATTTGTTTTCAAAAAATTTTATATTTGTATTTTTTTAATTTAATAATAAAAGTAAACTCAACACACTTTAAATAATGAATAATCACGCCATTTATGGTAGGCGTTGTCGTAGTATGCCAGCACTCGTAGACGTAATCGTTGTTTGTTTTCTAGTTAATTTCCTATCAAATTGAATTTTTACGAATATTGAGAAATGTAAAGTAATAAAGAAAAATTCTAATGTAACTATTAATTACTAAAATAAATAAAATTATTTTATAGTTTTTTTTTTGCTGATGACGACAGGATCTATAACGAGGATTGATTTTCTTTGCGGATTTTTTTTCAAGATAGAAGGAACATGAAAAGGGAAAATTCCAATTCATGATTGGGGTTGGTTACATCTCACTTGGATTTGTTTATCCCGACTTTTACCGGAATATCCGTAAATCATGGCACAATAAAAATATAGAATTGGTTTGAAGGAAATAAGAAAAAGTAAACTCTGTAGTATGGTTACTTAACCCTTCTTCTTCTTCAAAATTATAAATTTAATTTTACAACTTAAAATATTATTCAGAAATTATATATATATATATATATATATTTTTTTTTTTTTTTTTTGTAGAATTAGATTTTTATCGTAAAGCTAGGAGAGGTTATGTCATTGTAATTTTGGTGTTCTTTAAAAAGGATGAGTTTGTTAATCTAGCCTATTGCGTTTGTCATGGACGTCTCGTATAATCACCCTTATTATGGTTGGCGTAGTCGTAGTCGAAAATTTGACTCTGTCGTATTTATACGACAAATCGGTATTATGAAAAATTCGTTACAATACGCCAATTTTGTCGTGAAAGATTCTGTTGTCGACAGCATACAAAAAAATATAAAAATGTGTTAAAATTACATTTTAACAATATTTACTGATTAACTTTTACATTAGAATTTTTTATTCCATTTCTCAATATTCATAAGAATTGCACTTGCCAGAAAATTAATTAGAAAACAAACAAAATGACATAGTTTCTCCAATACTATATATAAAAGGTTCTAAAAGTACAATTTTTGCTTTGGTTCTGTAACAGAGTAAAAGAACAATCTATTTTTGCATTCGACTACTCCTACGAGAGCTGCGTACAACGACTACGCCTACCGTAATAAGCGGAATAATCAGCATTCATTTTATTTTGATTTATTTGGAACCACAACGACAACGAAATTTAGAATTTTAAAATTTCTTTCATATCCGAGCGTATAAATATATCCCTTATCGGTATATCGTTTAAAAAATGCATGCAAGTCTTCAATGTAATGCGCGTCCATTTGCTGCTAGTCGTTGATGAATGCTGTAATTTTGAAATTAGATTGCAACCGAATTTTAAATTTTCGTTCATATCCGAGCGTATAGGGTTAGTGCACCAATAGTCGGCACTTTAAGGATTTTCGCATTTTAAACGTTTCACCATCCCGAGAGAATTTTTTCACTATATTGTTTTTAGGATCATGTTTCCAAATTTTGTTTGTACTTCCCGATGCAATAAAAAATGGTTTAATTAAATAGTATTAAAGTAGATTAAATTGATAGTTAATTACGAAGAAGATCATTTTAAAAAATATATAATTTTAATATAGTTACAAGTCTTTTGAAATCGACATGCCCATTATTTTTTCTTAAGAAACATGAATAATCGCTAGTGTTGACAAACCTCATTGACCAAATGTCAAATTTTGACGGAATAAATGTACTTAGCTCGATTAAATTTTATAAAGACATAGGTTGCAATATTTAGTTATAGGATTTTTAGTTAGATCGATAGATCTGCTTAAAAGCATTTAAAAGCAACCGTTATTTCGGGAAAAATATATAAAGCCTTGAAAAATGAAGTATTCTCTATTTGAGTTAATATACCTGACAGAATAAAACTGTTGTAATAATTGCAGAGGAACGAAGAAAATTCGATTCAAAGATTTTGGAACATAATAATCATCAACAACTAAAGGTGTTCCAAATTTAAAGCTTTTCACTTTTTTAGAAATGTAACATTCGAAAACTTTCGAAATAGAAAGAAAATACAAAACAACAAACAAAAGTGTTAATGTATTATTTATAACGTTAAAAAAAGATTAGTCGATTTTGTGAGTCACCATTAGAATACCATCATTTTGAGACGGTATTGTAGAAATTCGTCCATAGACATAGACAAAACCTTTACAAGGCATTTTATAAGAGAAATCTATTGATTTCAATAAACCCACCTCCAGCAAAATAACCTACGCATTGAAAATAAAAAATCACAATTACTGATTTTTTTTTGTTTTAAAACATATTGAAATTCTTATATTATTTTGCATAAATTGATTAATTCCATTTACAACTAAATACATTAATTTAAATTTGAAGTATATATTATATAATTTAAATTTGAAGTATATATTATATATTTATATGTATGTTGTGTTACAAAAGAATTGATTAATTTATAAAGCCACGTAACAAACAAAACGCTAAATATAAAAGTAATAATAATAATGATAATAGAAATAAGTAAAACTTAAAATAAATGTATGTTTTTAAATGTAAATGAAAGGAAAATTAGGAAGTTTGTAATTCAAATAATAATCCAGAGTTATATAATATATTTTTTGCCAGTTTTATTTTTATATAAAAAATACAAGAGCTATAAACGAAAATAAAAAATACATAAATTTAAATTGATGGGGGAGAGAGAAAAACAAACGTAACAAAAATAAATTCCACTATTTGTTATTTACGAATTAATAATTTAATTAAAGAAAGGAAAAATCGCATATTTATTACAACAAAAAGTATTTTGTGGGATGTTGGAAACAATAATAAGTGTGGTTGTTTCTTACTTCGCTCGCATTTATTTATTTATTTTTTTTTACTAGAATAATTTATTTTACATATTTTTATTTTGCTCGTAACGGGAAAATGGTGGAGTGGGAGATATTTTTTTTCTTATTTTTTTCTTTTCTTCGGGAGGAGACAAAAAGTATTGTTTTTTATATCATTTATTTTCTTCATTAATGTTTTTTATTTACTTATATATGTGTTGTATTACTATTTTAATATAAGTATATAAGGTTAAATATTTAAATTTCATTTGAATAATTTTTGTATTTTTTTCATTTAGTTTGAGGGAATTGATTGGTGGTGGCTGATAGTTTTTAAATAGTTATATATTTATTTTAATTTTGTATTTGTGTTATTAATATGTTTTTTTGTTTTTGTTTAATATGTATATAGCAATTATAAATTTGCTCTAACAGCAACATCACCGTTTTTTAAAAACAATATGCAATTAAAAAATTAAATTAAAAAATTATCACCATTTCTTGTTGTTAGTTTTTCTTTTCTCTTGTTTTGTTTCTTTTTTCATCTACTTTTACAACACACAATAGTGTGTGGAGAAATAAGATCTCTTCTTCTGCATTTGTATTTATTTGCCACGCGAAAAAACGACCACGCTCAGCAACAGCATTGTGTGATTTTGTGTAGGTTCTTAATATATGTATATATGTGTGTGTGTGCGTTTCTTAGGCCAGCTTCTTCCTCGGAACTTGCTTAAGACAAATGGAACGACATGCTACCCTCGTTAGCAGCCACTTTTAGTTTTTGGCGCATGACTTCACGACTCGAATAGTCGGGCAATTTCAGATAATTTACACATGTCATAACAGAGGGCAAATAATCGTTGGGATTTTGATTTGCATCCAAGGTCTTACGAACTATAGTTAGGGGCGGTGTTAGAGCCTTAAAGCCACCCGTTGGTAGACGAGGTGAACCAGTGACGAATTGCAGAAATGCACGTTGCTCGTCGCTAGTGTACGACGATAGTATCTCGTACAGGAATTGTATGGCTTGTGACTCTTGATTGAAACCATGATCGGTGCGACAGCTATCCTGCAGCATTTTAATATCCCATTTTTGATAAGTGGCATTATTGCTGCCGCAAAAGACATTCTCGAGTTCTTCGGGATAGAACATGCGCAGACGATGTGTTGGAAATACGCTATCAAAACCTGAAAGTATTCAAAATTTAAATCAATAAAATACAATTGTAAATCAATCGAACACTGGTTATAACGACGAACTATGCGAAGCGAACTGTTTACTCTCATTATTTTTCAGAAACTTTATTACTTAATATACGTCTATAACTAATTGTATTGTTCAAATAATGCAGATAGATTTGTTGTAAATTTAAATATAGAGGTTATTTCATCCCGGAACAAAAATCCAACAATATTTGGAAAATGAAAAGAAAATACTCTTCTCCTCATAAACATACCTTCTTTGAGGGCTTCAAATTGTTTCTGCACACCTTCAACGAGGAACCAATATGTCACCAAACTAATATATTGATGCAAATTATGTACAGTTACGGGAGTATCTCGGCCGCCACGACACAATTCAATATTGGCATGGCCAGGCAAAACGAAATCCAAGCCTAAATCGGCTATGGGGCAACCATCCAAATCAAGTGATTCAATCTGAAAAGCCAAACACGAAGGACAATTAGCACCAAAACATAACCCAAATACTCAAAAGGGCGTTGGTCATACCTTTTCAGTCTTTTCCATAGCATCTAAGCTAGTGTCGGCTAAAATCATTTCTCGTTGATGCACGACGTCTTGGAGGCGTACCAATGTTTGTTGTACCTCTGGGGCAACACGTGACAAATCGGCCAAACCAATTGAATGTTCCTCATTCAAAAGCCAACGATAGAATGGTATTGAGAAGGGTAAATCCAGCTGTATGGCGAAAGAAATACATTTTAATAAAAACTGTGTTATACACTGGATTGAATCAACATACCATTCGACTGTCCATAACTGCCTTGGCCATAAATTTACCCAAAAATTTGAATTTCGACTTGACTTTTGAAACGTGGGGTAATTTCGACGATTTTCCCATGGGCAAGGGAAATAGGCCATGCGATGTATTTACGTAGGTGACTGGTGGTGGTGTGGGGCTCACTTGTATAGTTGGGGTGCTTACGATGGTGTTTACCGCTATGGGATTATCTAGCAGCGGCATTGAGAGGTCATGTTGCTGCTGATTTTGATGTTGTTGATCGACGACTACATCTGCTTGTTGTTCGATAAGCATGTCTAAGGCATCATCTCCAGCCTGAGGTGACTGCTGTTGATTATTTATGGAATTGTTTGTGGCCACCAAACTGCTGCGTGTGGCCACGCCAAAACTGTCACGATTATTGCGACTTGAACTGCGTGTTGGCGCTGCAGTTGGGCTAGGTGTTGTTTGATTTGTTGCTGTGTCGCTGGTCTGAGTGTTTGTGTCCTGCGATTCCTCAATGTGTAATGTGGCACTTGTGGATTTGACAACATCGACAATGCTGGCAGAGTTTTGTTTATAACTATCGCTACCATTCCACAAACCCAAATCGGTGCGCTGCAATTCCGCCGATACCAAGGCATAGAATTCCAATGTGGGACCTAAGCCAGTTCCAACCTGGAAATAAAAATTAAAAACAATTTGTAGTTAGGCATTGTGTGTTTGAGGCGGTGTTCCGCCGATCCACCAGACATACCTCATTCTCGTATTGAATCTCTAACAAAGCCTTCGAATGTCCAAAATCTTGTATTAAATGTTCAGCTTGCTTCAAGACATCCTGCCGGGATATAGCTCGCTTACGACGATCCAATCTGGGTGCAACGCGTTCCGATGACTCGGCTGAATTCAAATCTGGAGTAGTATCCAATAGACGTTGCAGAGCACGATCCCGATCGAAACTGGTCGCGTAGAATAGCAAATGCCTCGTCTCGAAGGGGAACAAGAAGGGGCAGGCCATACCGATTTGTGGCAGCCACTGGGGCAAATTGCCCGTCATTATCACCAATGGATCCTGCAGCTGGCGATTGGCCTTGGCCGTTATTTTAGGATGTATGAAATCGGACTGTGGTATTATCAATTGGCGGACTACACAGCCATACAAATGTTCCCAGTGGCGATTCAAGGCGTTTATAATACGCAGCATACAAAGGGCATCAAGCGAGGCGTCCTGCACGCTAGTAACCACATCGGCGGGCAGTGTATTGCTAAGGAATGGCTTAAGAGCGGACACGACACTGGGCGCAATGCCTTCGTGCCACAGTTCAGTTTTCTTGCGCAACAGCTTCGATGAAGATTTACTACTCTTTTTACTTCCCGAGGCACCCTGACCAGTACCTGAAGAGGAGGCTAGTACTCCGCCGCTATGCGCTGAAGAGGAAGTACCAGCACCAGTTATAATGGATTTACTGCTGCTACTGGATGCTCCAGACGCGGTAGGTTCTTCCTCGACAGGTCTGTAGTAAATTGTGTGTTGTTGTACCCAAATACTTGCGTTACCTAAAAGAAAAACAAATAAACAGACAACGTTGACATTGGTTTTCGTGGGCGAATCCATCGAGCATAAAACTTACCCAACGGTGTTTCCGTATCTGTATCGGTTTCAGACTGATCATTCACCAGTGGTGAAAATTGTTTTACTGCCTGGTAAACGGTCATATTGTAGGGTAACGGATGATCTCCAATTAGGAATTGCAGTTTGTGCTTGAAACCACTTTGTGACATAACCACGGCCGCCACATTATCATCCATATCCTCCTCCGAGTCTTCGTCTAAGTCACCGCGAATACCGCCATATCCCCGTACCACCAGATAACGTTCAATGGCCTGTACCATGGCAAGGGGATCGATTTTAACAGTGCCACCCTTCCACTGACGCAGATTATTGCAATCGGGATGGCGTTGTAAATTACACTGGGCGGAAATAAAGACAACAAGCATATATTAATAACTTCATATTACCGTCAATCAATCTAAGAACTTACCTTCAGTTGATGTGTATTGAAGAACTTCAAAGCACTTGTATTCGAACGACCTCCACCGGGCCCAGCCGGGAAGTCATGCACCTTAACGGGGAATTGTTCAAGTTGTGTGACACAAGCATTTAACTTGGCCACAAAAGCGGCAAATGCTGTCGCATCGATAGCTGGCAAGTTGCCCACCTTGACCAGTGGTTCCAGTGGCAGACCAGCAAACACATGCATAAATGCACGCAAGCGAGCATCACGATCAACCAGACCCTCTTCGGAGCTCATAAAGTTCAGCATTGCCTTAATCAGCCCCGAATGATTTACCTCGAACGGTGAGATGTCACTCTCCAACAAAATGCTCTTCAATTCGAACAGGGACTCCAGAACATCTGGGAAGCTGCCACTCAATTTGGCAATTACTGCTGTCAGGCGTTGTAAAACATTTGTGGTGCCAGCGCCCTCTGTGCCCATGGCGGAGGTCTTCGACTCCTGCGATGCATAGCGCTTGATAAAGGATATTGCTTGTTCGCGTATCCATTGGCGGGCTTTTTCACGGTTTCCAGCTGCTATCAGATTGGCCTGTGATATGCTCTTGCTAATGTTTTGGGCAGCCAACGATGTCGAACAACCACCACCGGCCATTGAGTGACCAGCACTTGAACCGGCGGCATTATTGCTATGGCTATGATGAGAACTTGTACTACTGCTGCTGGCTGATGAATCTTTGGTAAAACCTGAGTTAGCGGCTGACGAAGAACTGCTGCTGGCGTGGTGAGATCCCTGGCGTCCCCAACGAGCTGGGTTGAGCGATGCCAAAAACGACGATGTCTTCGAGGATGACTGTGAGCTGGAGTTCGACGAACCATGGTGACTGCTGCCACCACTAAACCGAACTTTGCTCGATGTGCTGGGCGTACTGCGCCCAGCATTGGACGACGAACTGCCAGCTGAGGTTCCACCCAAACTGGTGGCTCTAGTCAGCAACTCGTGCACGGTAGACGATGTGCTGCTGGTGGTGGTGGTTGCGTGTGAGGACTGATCTTCTTGACGAGACTTCGACCGGCTGGTCGATTGCGATTTTCTTTTCGGTGGGACTTTACGTTTCAACATATCACTCATTTTATGCGGCAAAACGGATGACGAAGATGATGACGAGGAGGGTGGTGTTGATGTCGAAGCTACTGTTCCATGTGGAGTGGTCGCCATGTGATATTGTGCCTGTTGCTGCTGAGTGGTAGGAGGCGGTGGTGGCGGTTGGCCATAATGCCCCGTTGTTGTGGGCGGTGGCGGGGGAGGTAATTGATTGTAGGCCACATATTCGGTTCCCGGTGGTGGTAGTGGTGGCTGTGGAGCCTGCTGTTGTGCCGTGGTGTAGACAAAATAATTCTGTTGCGGCTGTTGGTGGTGGGCCACCAAATGGGTATGAGGAGCCGGCGCCGAAGAGCTGTAATGGTATTGGACCTCAGCCGAATTCTGGTGTGCCGGTGTTCCACCACTTGTGTTTATGTTCATCGCCATGGATGACTGCATCTTCTGACCCGAAGAACCACCACTTGAAGACGAAGTACTTTGTTGGGCTGCAGCCGCTGTCAGCGCATTCATTGCATGCGAAAATGTTTTCATTGTGTACGGATGCTGTTGGTGATGTGGCTTCGATGTATTCGGTGTGCCCGAAGCAGATGCACTTCCCTGAGTGGAAGGTACATTGTCCATAAAGAAGGGGTTCACTTGCAGGCTTGATGCAGATGCCGGTGCACTCTGTGAACCACTGGCGGACATATTTGTGGCCAGGGGCTTAGGCGACGGATTGGAGCATATTGGATGGTTGGGATCTGTTAGTTGGGTAATTTGATAGATGACACCCTCGCGGCGGAAATGTGTGCCGAATATATCGGGTAATTTTTGCATAAGTATCTCGGCCATTTGTAGAGCACCCACCACGATGCGTAAGTCATTGCTGCCAAGCATACCAGCTATGTGGCTGGACACCAGTTGGTATTTTAGAACTTCACTCAACAATTCGGATGAGGCATAGTAGACCATGCGTAGAAGAGCTCTCAGACATTTGTAGCGGACATTAGGGCCAGCCGATGAACTGTACACTTCGTAGAGGACATTGAACAAATTCTTTATAAATTCAGCAGCCAAACCACGTTCCTCCTTTAGACAAGCAATGCGAGCATCTACCGAAGCTCGTCGCTTTTGTGATGATGATGACGACGATGTGGCAATTGGTGTCGTTCCTCCTGTGGCTGTTGCCGTTACAGTATTGCTGAGAGCCGAGATAGCAGAGGCCACAGCAGACGCTGATAAATCTTGTCCGGCAGATGTTGAAGTGCTACTAGTACTGGGAGGTGGTCTGTAATTAGGATTTATTTTTCTCTGTACCGGCCTAGTGGTGCCTGTATCTTCATTGATTTGCTGCATCGAATGGAAATCCACGGTGTAAGTACGTCCCAGTGTACTCAAACTGAACTCATCCTCCGAATTCAAATGGGCTGCCTCAATCATGCGTGAATCTATGGCGGAATAATTGTGCCAGGTACCGCGATCGTCACGCCACTGCCACTGCACTTGGTCGTGGGTATTGATGGTGGGACGATCCAACAGGGCATCTACAACAAAAATACCATCGGTGGGGAGTCGAGGCATTAGCTCGCCAATTAAACATGTGATTTCATAGAGTTCCGATGGCGAACGCGATATCAGATCAACGTGGGTGGAGGCCGATTTAGGTAGAGGATCTGCATTTCCCGTTAAGAGATAAAGTAGTGTAGATGCGATGTCACTCTTTAGCAAGGAAATGGCCAAATCAGGACAATTGGCACACATCAAACTGAGCATTCGTACGACGGCGGTAAATGTACCAGAATTAAGCAGAGCCGGTGTAACCACCAGTAGTTGTTGGCAATTCTTAAGTAGCTCTTTGCTGGCAATTTCCTGCAGACGTTTGGGATCATGTTGGAAACTCTCCACCAGGCGACAGAAAGCTGAGCAAACACTTTCCACGCACTTCTTGTCCTGTTGGGCCAAAAGTCTCGCCAGCAGGGGCAGACTTTCCGATACAAAGTGGAATTCCTCATTGTGCAGATTCAGACAGCAGTTAGCGGTAATGGCTAAAGCAGCTCTCTGGGCGTTAATCGAAAAGAAATCCAAATAGGTGAGGCAAGCTGAGACACCATTGGCCTGAAGAATGGCTTTGTTGTGACGCCTTGACAGTATTTCCAATGCTGTTAAACTTTGCTCGGCAACATCCATGCACTGGATCACCTGTAACTTTTCGAGGAATACAGGGACAGCGTCGACTACAGTGCCCGACGACCGTGGCAATGCTTCGAGCATGTAGGCCAAGGCTCGACAGGCATTGTTCATAATATCGAAATTATGTTCCATACGCAAGAGGGTTATCAGTGCTGGGACAACTTGTTTGATGGGGAAGCCGGCCAAGGTATCCTCATTGCCCATTACCAGCATTTGACACATTTCAATGGCGGCCTGCAATTGTTGACTTTCGTCGTGTGATTGCAGTCCCTGCAGCAGTTGTTGGGCCTTGGAGGTACTGTTATTACCAATGGTGCGATGTAAAATGTGTGTCATACGCGGACCCAGTGCACCAAAGAGGTGTGGCGGCAGACCGCGGGCTTCCAACAAAGCCTGCAGTCGCCCCACCTCACTGTCATCGCTCTCGGAATCGCCATGTGAATTGGCACTGTTGGCGGCATTATTTGATGACGACGTTGTGGTGCCTCCTCCTGCTCCCGTTGCTGTTGTACTGTTGATACCACCTCCGCTATTGGCAGCCGTTGCGTTGATGTTGCTGGTGTTGGCACCGGTTGCTGTAGCGGAGTTGTTGGTAGCTGAAGACGTTGTGCCGCCCAAGGCGTTGGTGACGCTTAACGATGCTATAATAAGAGAAGAAAAAAACAACAAATGATGAATTAATATTTGCTTTGTTAAAGTGGTGCGCGAGCGAGTGAGTGTTTGAGTGGTCGGGTCGATCAATTAAACCACAAAAAACAAAGACTTCAGTTTAGAAGTGGAATTTAGAAAATGTTAAACTTCAAATGATATCTTGGGCTCATAATTGGTTAACAACACCTTCACCAGACATAGACATTTCTTGAATTAGTATTTGTGGATACTCGATTTCATATTCATTTTTAAATATGTTCCCAGGATGGATGGATTTAGTTGCAGTTCGACGACTGGAGCGTTTCGTTATCTTAAACCAACGACACTAATGTTTACCAATTTGTGTAGCCTACTTTTCGGGTTCGTTTTAGGCATTTTAGTATATACAGTTTGGGGTAGAGTAGTAGTGGTGGTGGTAGGTAGTATATATAATTTTTCAGAGTGGAAGACTAAATACAATTTGCTAATTAAAGTAAAAACGAAACAACTAGAAATAAAAAATAAAAACAATACGAAAATAGAGAAAATACACACTACAACAAAATGTTAAACAATAAAAAATCAAACAGTTTTGTATTCAAAATAAAAAAGTGTGCTGTCACCTTTTTTCATCTTTTCTACAACAAAATAAATGTAAATTTCGACTTGAGTTTAAAATAAAGTGGAAGTGAAAATTAAAAAAATAATGAGTAAGAGTAAATGGGATGAATCAAAATGAATTAAGGAACCCTCACACATGGATGGGATGACTTTATTGCATGAAATGTTTGGAAAGTGGGTGGTGGGTGGCATGGGGGGCGAGGAGTTTTACATGGCATAACATATTTTCTTGACTTTGTTTACCTGAAGAATTACCTGATGTGTGTCCACCGGTATGGGACGATGTCGAGTTGGTTGTTGTCGGTGGTGGCACTTGTTGTGATGCTGTTCCACTATTAGATGCTTGTTGTTGTTGCTGTGCCATTAATGAATGACTTAACGCATCCGTAGAAGCTGATTTGTTTATATACATTATGGATTTTGGATGGATTTTAAGATATTAATATTGGCAAAGAGAGTGGACGTACACGACAAATCAACAATGAGAGCAGATTATATGTCAAGGATAACAAGAAGAGCGAGCGAGCGAGCAATTTTCATGAAAAAACATAAATGTTTTTATAAGTTTTTCATATCTCAAAAGAATTAATGTCGGTTGGTTACGTATAATAAATTTCAAAATAAGAAATCAAAGAAATAAAACAATAACACATGCATACATAACATAAATAATAAACAAATTAAATATAATTCTTAACTCTAATGTAATACATATTTCGCATTGGAATTTTATTTGTTCTGGGGATAGGGATTTTATTGTGGCTGATTTGGGTTGGTGTGGTGGGTGAGGTGGTTGTTTGAGGGATTTAATGAATGTATATCTTGAGAACATACTGTTTTGTATTAGGATATGGGGATTGTATATACAAAAAACGAACGAACCTGAAACCATCACCCGCATTTTCAGCATATTTTCAAATACAAAATGTACAAGAATGTTTGTAGGATTTTAAACAAACTTCCAGCCATGTCGCTGGCGGCTGTTTAGACAAACGTCTGACTGCCTTACTTGTTTAAAAACAAGTAATTTTGAAATACTTTATCATACCATTCTCCCTAATTTTTGCTAAAATTTAGAAAATTTATTCCTATTTAATAAGACTTTGTTTTTGTTCTTGTCAAAGCAAAGAAAACAATGAAAACCAAATTTCAAATCCTTTCTTCGAAAAACGCAGCAATTTTGTATACATTTCCCCCACCCTCACTAAATATCCCCTCATTCATTCACCCTTTTCACCGTCTTGCCCCCCCACATTATGGTGGTCGGTTGTTAAGTGTTGGCGATTTGATTCTGTTGATGCTGTTGGTTGCTTTTCTCTTTTTTGCTTTCTTGCACTACAACTGATAGATTCGCGCACTGCGGAAAAGAAACGTCAACACTTACCAGAATTTGTTTTATTGGAATTTTGATGAGTGGCCAAGTGGAATGAGGTGGTGGGGGGATTTGTAGATGGGGGCACGACGACGTTGGTGGCAGCACTTGACGACGACGTTGATGATGTTGTACCCAAACCACTATTATTTGTCGAACTATTTGCTGAACGATAGCTGTACAAGAAGCCCGGCTGAACAACCGTTGTCCGTTGTTGCAACAATGCGTGAGGGTGTGTTGCTACTGCTGTATGCAACAGGTGACTTTGTGGTTGTTGCTGTTGTTGTGCTATAGCAACGACAACAGCACCGCCGGATGTTGCCAGATTCTGATGATGATGAGGGTGGTGGTGTTGTGATGGCGGTGGCGGCGGCTGCTGGTGGTGATGCAAAGACGGTGGTGCTGGATGATGAGTAACAGGAGGTGGTGGGTGTGCAAGGTGCGATCCTAAAGAGTGATGTGTCTGTTGTTGTTGTGTTGCTAATTGCTGCTGATGTGTGTGCGGCGGGTGAGTAAGATGATGGCCAGCGTTGACCGACGGCTGTTGAGCTGCTGCCGATGCTGCTGCTGTTAACAACTGATGGCCCACAACTACGGGTAAGCTGGCTGCGTTATTTGCGGCAGCAGTGCGGTTTGTTGAACCAACGACGCCGCCACTACTGTTGCCACCGATGCAGCTGCTGCTCGCACTGCCGTGATGTTGCTGGCCCTGTACCGAACTGACACAAGAACCCGTTTTGCTTCTGGAACTGCGTCTTAAGGTATGGGAATTCTGTTGTTGTTGCTGGTGTTGATGATGAACAGTGCTGCTGGAACCGTAATTTGTTGCGTGATATACAAGACCACTGGGAGTTGCAGTTGAGTCGTGAGAACCGGCACCCAATGTCAATTCGATTGCTGTGGGTGGTGGTGGCGGCGGCGCGTTATGTGTTTGTTGCTGCTGCAAGTGGCCACCACTTTGTGCCTGATGATGATGTGTAAGATGTAGATTTACCGGCGGTGTTGCTGTAGGCACCTGTTGCTGATGATGATGGTGCTGCTGATAACGTGCTGCTCCGCTTTGGCTCAGTAGCGTGGCTTGTGCTTGTCCAGCTCCTGGTGGTGGTGGTTGTTGTACCTGATATATTAAAGGCGCACCATTAACTACGGCAGCACCACTTGAATTATTTAATGCAGCAGCCGCAGCAGCTTGATACGAGTTCAAATTTAAATTTAGTATGGCAGCTGATGAAGCCGTGGTACCAGCGGTCTGATACGTCTGGAAAAAGTGAACCTGTTGTGGCGGCGGTTGTGGTTGCAAATGACCGGCTGCCGGTTGATGGTGATTTGTGTAAAACGTTGGTCCGCTAGCTTGTTGACTTAAATAATGAGTCTGTGTGTGAGATCCTTGTCCTTGGTGAGATTGTAGCAAGTGTGCCGTGTGATGTGATTGTCCCTGCTGCTGTTGAGGGTAGTGTGTCGATGTTGTGGCAGCAATTAAAGAGGGATGATGCGGTTGGTTTGGTGCACCGCCGTTCGAAAGTACTCCAGTTGTAGTTAGTTGTGGTGGTGGTCCTATCACAACACCACCACTACGATTTAATAGGTTATGATTGAACCCAGCGGTTCCACCACCAATGAGTTGGGGCGCTACACCAGTCGTTGTACCGCCACCAGTAACTGTTGAATGTGTTGTTCCGACGGCAATTGTCGAACCGTTTTGACTCCAGCCGTTGCCAATGACACCTCCACCGCCGCCACCGCCTCCTCCGCCGCCTATATGTACACCAATATTGTAATCTGTATTGTTGCTAGCTGTATTGGTATTAGTGCTTGCACTGCCACCACTGCTGCGTGTTTGTCGTGCCCCCAGATTCGGGGCTCTATTGTAGCCCGTCGTTGTAGCTGTTTGTTGTGACGACGTAGAAGTAGTAATTTCTTCACGGTTTTCTACTCCTACAACCACCTGAGTGCTGGTGGTGGTGTTGTTGGTGATGTATTTGCTCGAACTGCTGCTACTGTTGCTCCTCACTTTGAGACCACCGCTACGCTTGAAACGATGTCTTTGTTTGTGGATTTGTTGCTGTTGTTGCAGTTGTAATTTGAAATTTTCTTGGTTGGCTTGCTTTAAAGTGTTACGACGTCGTCGTTTCAATAAACGCTTGCGTCTTTGTTTGGGTTGTTCTTGTCGTGCTAGTTTTCGATTTTTGTGGTGTTGGGGTTGTTGCTGTTCGACACCTTCTTCTTTTTCTTGCTGCTGCGGATGTTGTTGTTGTTCTTGCCTTTTACCTTGATTTAGAATTGTTTTTTGGGGAATTTAGGGTGTCATTATTATTTAAAACACACAGTGTCAGAAATATATAGTTTTTGTTTTTTAATTTTTAAAAACGTTTAGATTATATTTTCTTGGTTCATTTTTGGGGTGGAAGAGTGTGGAAGACATGAACATAATTTTTGTTTCGATAGTCTCTGTGAAACGGGGGTTCTTTTTGAGAACATATCAGCATTCAGAAGAAACCAAGAAACAAAATCATTTCAATCATAACTAGAAAATTGGATTTTTATAAAATTTTGAGAAGAAAAATCATATTTCAAAACAAATCAACAGGTCTGACTATATCCGTCAAGAAATTCCAGCTAGATTTATTTAATTTTTATGAAATCAAATTGCATTTTGACGAAAATAATCTCCATTAAATATTGTGAAAAAGAAGTATTTATATTTTTTGAAGAGCAAATCATAATATATGACTCTCCAAGTGGTTGAAAAACAACAAAAAAACAACAACTTTAAAATGGGAATCACAGAAGACCATCTTCCATCAACCATGTCATGTCGTCCTCCTCCTCCTCCAGAGATAGTATATTGTTATTTAAAAATAATAAACAACTAGGTGACTTTATATGCATGTATGTATTGTTTATAATAAATATTTGTAGATATTATAGACTCCAAGAAAATTGATTAAAATGAAAAAAAAAAAAACAATCATGGATAATAACTATATATGTATGTATAAACACGAAAGTAGTTTATGTAAGTAGTCCTATGGGTGGTGTTTGGTTTGAAGAAAAAGAAAATTGAAAAATCAAATCACTTAAAATAGTTTTATCCTTCATGATGTTTGGGTTTACACAACACACGTTATTACATCGTCTGCCAGAGCTGCCACCTCCGTTGAATTAAAGTATATACATATTAATGCATAACAAATTGTTGCAGATTAAATTCCTATATAGAGAAATAACACTAAAATGTTCTTTTTATATCCTAGAATTTCATTTCACTTTAAGACAAAAGAAAAACAATGAGTCGTTGTTGTTTTTGGTTTTGTGGTGAGCTGTTTTTTTATTGTTATTATTGTAGTAACAAACTAAATTTGTTATTAAAATAATTATTGACAAAACACAATGCAAAGTACAACAAAAATTTATGCAATACAAACCAGGCAGCAGTTGTTACAAATAAATTAAATTAACAGCAAACAATTATCACAAAAATTAATTTCAACAAATCATGAATGTTGTTGTTGTTGCTGTTGTTGAATTTTGCTGTCATATTATTAAAATGCAATAAAATAATTTAAAGTTGAATTCACGTTTGGATAATGACTAAGAGGAGAGTGAGTGAGTGATGGTAGAATAGGAAGATGGTTATGATTGTAGCCGAGTTTATATAAAAAAATGAATGGTCATGGTAGGGGCATGGTGAGCGAGAGTCTGGTCTGAATTGTTTTTCTAAATAAATAGCTTTTAAAATAAGGTATGATAAGGATGTTTATTTTCTGCAATGATATTGGTTGGGTAAATCATGTAATGTGTTTGTGGGGTGGCTGTGTGTGAGGGTGGGTGGGTCGGTATCTGTGTAGTGAATATGAATGTAATAAAATATAAACAAACCCCTGTAATGATATACATATACAGATATTAAGAGAATACCGGGGGCATGTAATTTTATTTTTCATTTACAATATTAAAGATTAGTAAGTCATCCAATTATTCCGAGAGGCTATTATCAAGGGGGTGGTAATCTGTAAAGACCTGTTTTATAAACTATGACACATTATTCTACGTCCTAAAGAAAATTTAGATGTTTTTTAAAGGTGACAGCACTGTTTTACCGGGGAAATCTAAAGCATGTTTTCTTTTTAATGTACAGGGAATTAAATAACCTTAACTACATACAGGTATTAAACTTACTTTTAAATACTTAAAATACTTATTTACATTAAGAAATAAATTTAACATAATTGAAATATTCATTTATTTTCTATATATGAGGGAGGTTTCAAATAAAACATATTGGAATATGTGGTACTCTGGAATTGGATTGGCAGACATTTTCTTACAGGAGGAGTAAGAGTTTAAGTTTTCTGTATTTCACACAGAACTTTTAGAAAATCAAAACTTATTTACAATAACTATGGGTAGAATAAAACCCGATTTACGGACCAAGCCCAAAACTTGTGGGAGACGGCGTATCCATAGCCGGTACGGGTTCGATTGATGGCGAGTCTAGCACCAAATGCTTTGTAGTGCGTTGCAGCAAAACGAATTTACAAAATATTTTTATTTAGTTTATTACAATTGCTTCAACTTGTATTGTATTCTCCAATGTTACACAAAGCCCTGATAACCTTTTATAACTCCACATGGAAAAATCCCTAGATTCAGAAGTAAGTTTTATAGCAACAAACAAGTTAATCTTGTTTGCGGGACATGCCTTATTTTAAATATATATATATATAGGCAAGATTTTTTTACTTTTTTTGCGCACAAATAATTGGATATTATTTGTATTTTTTACGAAAATATTATTTATTTTAAACTTCACAACAAACTGTTATTGTTGTTCTTTGAAAATGAGAACAATGACCCAAGAGCAATGGCCCAGAGACCGTCTTCAATAAAAGGAAAACATACATATCTCAATAAATTATAGATGTAATTAAAACAAAGCAAATAATATGATGACGATTACTTCGACGAATGGATGACATGTCAATGTTGTTACACAGTGCTAATTTGCATTTTATTTTAGATTTTTTCGTCATCAATATGGCCAATGATGATGATTTACAGTCAGTCAATGACGACAAATGTCTCTTGACTGCTTAGATGTCGTACAATAGCCCTTGACTGATTGAAATACAGACAGACAGACAGACACACTATTGGCATTTATAAAAACCACAAATGTCAATAAATTTATTATTTTTTCAAACTGAAAATCAATTAAAACGATTGCAATGATAGCAGTAGCAGCAACAACAACATGGACTAGACATAAAGAAAATCAATGAATATTTCAATTAAAAAAATGGTTATATATCTATAAACATATGTAGTAGGAGAGAACAGATATATATGTATGTAAATACATGTATGTGTACTTGTAGTGGGGCAAGATAGATAGATGGACCAGAGTAGAGAATAAGAAGAAGAATAACAACAACAAAAAATAAATAAATAATATAAACAAAAAAGGCATAATTCACATCACAGTTGGAGCAGATATACGGAATACTTTGTTCTCTTGTCAGTCGATTAAATGAATATAGAATTGAATGCAAAAAAAAACAGAAAGAAACAAAAACACAATTCAATACTGGAATGCATATTAATTTTATAGCAATAAACAAGTATTTGATAAATAATTAAATACACAAAATAAAAAATAATACAAGAGAGTATGATGGAGAGAGATTTTACAAACTAAAATACAACAGAATTGCTAAAAAACAATTGATCGTTCGGCCGACCGACCGACAATAACACAGAGAACAAAGAACTGTGTCGTCGAAGAGGAAAAAAATAGAACTTTTGTTTTTCTGATCACAGGCACACTTTTTTGTTAAAACAAAATAATCACAACAGCATCCCATTTTGGGAAATGCTAAAAACATATCTGTCTGTGTATATGTATATAAAATAGTATCTGTTGACTTACCTCCAAAAGCAGCAACAGAATCTTCTATTTCGTCGGCAATATCTTCTTCCTCTTCCTCGATTTCTTCGTCGTCGTCGTCAATATCCTCTTCTTCTTCAATATCTTCGTCGTCGTCCTCTTCGTCACCGAAAAGTTCAATTTCCTCGTCGTCGACGTCCTCTTCTTCTTCCTCCTCAACAATGTCGTCGTCTTCGTTGTTGTCTGATTCGCCGCCGACGATGCCAACAATATTATTATCCGTCTCCTCTTCTACTTCTTCTTCTTCCTCCTCGCCCTCCTCCTCTTCTTCTCCTTCCTCTTCCTCTTCAATTAATCCTTCAGTACCGTTGTCCTCGATAGAATCAATATCAGCTGTTAAAACTGCTAGCAATTCTTTATCGAAGTACACCGAATTGGAATTGTTTGATCGTTCAGCTGCTGTTGTATTCGAGGCGGAGGGGTTATCACCTACCGATTCGCCGAGATCTTCTTGTGAATCGTTTAATTCGTTGCTTAAATTATTCAAAAATGTTTGATAATTTCGTAGATTTTTACGATATTTGGAGATTTTATCCAGATGCAATGATGTCGGCGATGTAGCCGAGATGCTGCTTGTGGATGTTGTGGCAACTGTTGACGACGTAGATGGTGGTTGTATTGAACCTCCTGCTGTTATTGTGGACGACGTAGATGATGATTTTGTATTTAATTTAGCTTTGTTTCCCACAACTGATAACAAGTTCTTGTTATTGCTCTGTGTTTGCTGTTGCCTCTTATCGCCGCCAACAACACTACCGCCACATTCACTTAAGCGTTGTTGTTGTTGCTGCTGCTTCTTATTATTACGTTTCGACAACGACGATGATGTATTGCCACTGGTGGTGGAACTTTTATTTTGATTTCGATAATTCCGCTGTCTGTGTCTTGACGATCCAAGGGATGACTTGAATTTGTATTTTTCTGCGACTTTTGTTTTTGTTTGTCGTCGACGGTGGTGGTGTTGCTGCTCCGCAGTTTCGCCGCTTTCACTGTTGTCGGTGCTCTGCTCGAGCGCGTCCTCGTCCACCTCCTCCTCAGCGTATTCCTGCTCGTCAATATCTTCGCCGTTGTCTCTCGCAATTGCAATACTACTTATGTGACCAGTAGTAGCAGAAATTGCTCCCGCACCGGCTGCACTTTGCCGTTGTGCGCTATTGCTTCTCTTCTTTGTTGTGGTTGTCGAACGACTATGACTGACTTTGCGAGTTTTACGATAATAATTCAATAAATTGCTCTTACTGGCACTGGCAGTGTTGCTGGCGCTGCTGCTGCCGCTATTCGATTTTGCCTTTGTTGTACCACTACGTTGTGTTACTGCCGAGGTATCTACACACGAGGCGATTGCCTTTGTATAGCGACGATGATTGTTGCTGCTGTTGCTGTGGTTAATACTAATCCCACCACCACTGCTGGTCGATGGCTCTTCGGGTGAGACAGTTTTCGAACGAGTTCTTTGTGCTACACAATCACCACCGCGCTGTTGTTGTTGTTCCCTCTTCTTTGGTGTTGAAAATTTGCTGTCACTGACAGCACTGCTATTTCCACTTGTTGTCGAAAGTGGCGTCGATTCAATGTCCTGTGAACTGTGGTTGTGCTGATTACTGTTGTAGCGACGTTTCTTTAAAGGGGACGACAAATCCGTGGGGTATTCACTGCCGGTTGAAGTAGAGGCTGCTGTAAAGAAGACAAAAGAAAACATATATGAATATCAATAACAACAACAAACAAACAGACAGTTGATATTGAATAATTATTTTGTAAATTTCAAATTTATATTTCAAATTGTTCTGTTTACGAATTCTTCTACTGCTAAATAATTCATTTAATTGAGATGTAATCGATATTAACAACAATTCCAAGGTCACATAAAATTGTATAACCACCACCACTACCCATTGAAATTTGCAATTAACTATAAAACTTCAATTTGTAAGTGTATGAGTGCTAGAGTATTTGTGTCTATAGGAGTGTGAAATGTTTAACAAGATAATGAAAGACACAGAAGTATCAGTTAATGGTGAAATGCCCCTAGGAATGCTCGTTCCCCCTTTGCCAATGTTTGATTTTTATTGAAAAATATTTCAAATAAAAGAAAAACGTATTACAGATTTTGAAATGGAAAAATGGTGACACGACATTGGTATTACGAGTTTAGTTTCAAATATGACGCGTAATCAAGCTGAACAGAACGTAGTGGGTGGTCAGAATTAAATTTGTGTAATTGATTCCTAAAGTCGACAAATGTTTTAAGATTTTCAATGAAAAATGTATGAAAACCATTAATATATAATCAATATAGGCATATATTGTCGCTTAGAACGACGATCAAAGGACCATCAACATTGGTATGTATACGCGATATCAAATAAAATAATTATTGAGACATTTCGCTAAAACGGTTTCGATTGTATATAGCCCTCATCCCTCTTATGTCTTATGGCAAATTTATTAACTATAATATTATGCTTACAGTGTAGAGAATTGGTGCCATTTGGGACAAGATTCTAGGTTTAGCTTTTTCTATATCCTTACTAATATTAAAAATGTATACTTTATTTTTTCACCGTGTTGCTTCTTTCTTGCCTTTATATTAAAACCCGAAATGAAATTACAAATTCAAATATGATTTTTTTAATTATAACAGCAACAGCAAGAAGAACACAACGGCGAACAAAGGAAAAAAACTGCAGTCAAATTCACATACATACATACAAAACTTATAGCGAACACGCTAATACTTACAAGTTGTGGCCTTTTCAACGTGGTGGCGTTTACGGTCTACACGAGTTGTGGGTGGCGGTGTTATGGGTGAAGTTGGCGAGTACACTGCCGATGATGTTGAGGCGTTTAATGTGGAGTTACGTGATGAGGCACGTTTATTGGCGTTAGTTTTGTTGCTACAATTGCCGCTGTTGTTGTTAGTCTTTGTTTTTAACAACAATGGTGATTGTTCTTCTTGTGGCTTGGTATGGCCTCTACTGGTACTACTACTGCCGCTATTGTTATGTGAGTCTTGATGTGTTGTTGAGAAGCGTGACTTGCTGCGTGAATTGCTGCGAGAACGTTTATCGACAGCTATAGTATTATTATCGATGGAACAAGAGGGAGATGAGGTGGCTGCTGCTGGTGGAATACTTGAATTTTTAAGGTTGTCGATGCCGCCTAAGGATTGGTGTTTTTGATGTTTGTGTGACTTCTTTTCTTGTTGACGACTACCACGTTTGGATTTGACCTTATTGATTGGAGTCGTCGTTGGTGTTAGTGTTCCTGCTGTTGGTGCTGGTTTTCTATTTGATGATGCATGCGTTATGCTGTCGTCGTGCCCCTCCGTCACTGCAGAGAGCGATTGAGTACTAACGGACTCGGCCATAGACGACACTTACACGCACATTCAATCCCACTAAACATGCCCTCGTCCCAGTTTGTTGTAAATTGTTGAGTTAAATTTTTTTTAGAACACGCAAAAATGTTGTTGCTAAATTAAAATTAAATTCACTTTTTTTTTTGTTTCAGTACTGATATATTTTGATAAATGTTTAATTTTCACTTATTGAAATTTATTTTCGCGTTTGTTTTCTTTTTTCACTTTGAATTTTATTTTAAGATTGTTTTTTTTTTTTATAATTCAGATACGATAATCTACGAGATAAATGGCGAATATTAGAACTTCATTTATTTATTTTTTTAATATTGAAAACTTTTTTAATGTTAGTTTTTCGATTTTATGAATTTGCTTTAACACTGTTTATATATTGGTGGGAGTTGCTCCTATATATTACACGATATCCTGAAAATGGTATAAAAACAAATGATTATTAGTTATCGAAAAATAAAATATTTAGATTAGGCAAATTGCGATCTTTGTTTGTATATCGATTTAATTCGTTTTGTGTATTTCGTAACATTTTATATATATTTAAATGTGAAAAAACAACAAATAAAAAAATATTTTGGAAACCGAATTGCCTTGTGTATCAAGTTCAAAAGAGAACGATAAAAATTGCCGCAAGGAAACTCGCCTAATATAAATCAGGACATAGATACAAACTGCGATTTTATATCGATTTAAACAAAAATGTACAAATTAAACTTCAGCAGGCATTTATGTTTGTTGAATTATATATCAGAGAATGCCTTGATATATAATAATAATAATATATGACAAAACTTGATATCAGGCACAGACAATTGCGAGAAAGAAACACAAAGATTATAGCCCACGAAGGTAACAGAAAGAAAATTATTTTTATCAGTTTTTCACTTCTTCCACAATTGGTCTGTTCCCGTACTTCAAGAATCAACTAGATTTTACTATTTTCTTCGATATCATAAATGAAAATTCGTTATCGTAGTAAAAAGTAGTAGTAGATTGTTGCAGTGCAGGAACAGACCAAATATCTCATTTAGTTATTTTTTTCTAACTTCCTAGCCTTTAAAGGGGGAACACATAAGAGGTCTTTCAGGCTTGTCATCTTCAGTTGATTTTTTAATTGTAAGAGAATAAAGGAGAACGGCGTCCGAATTCAAGTTTGACTCTTATATTCCTTTATAAATTGACAACTCATACGAACCCAACTTAACAGGGCAGGCCTGAATCATCGTGTGTGTCTCCTCTATAACTCCGGCTTTTTGTGACAATTTCTCAAACATATAATAGTATTGGATAAAATGTGAAAATTCGAGATATGGATTTTAAAAATAATCGTATAAATTTAGAAGATTCCTTCCCGAATCTATCCCACACGAATCTATAAAAAAGGCCCCTTCCCTACATAGAGGATCCCTCTTCCTCTAAAGTTATATACATCGAGACATTTATTTTTTAATTGAAACGTGATAATGCTACACTGCGTATCATAACTATAGACGCACCCTTAATTCAATTGGTATGTTAGTTGACAAATAAAATGGACCCATTAAGTTATTGTTCACAATAAAACGATCAAAAACACATATTATTCAACAAAAATAATTAATTTATTCTTTATGGTTTCGCCGAATTCTGCACTTTCAAAATTGCTGGTGTTGCATAACTATAGACGCACTTTTACAAAATTAGAAAAAAATATTTTTTAAAACTTTAATAAAATAAAATAACTTTTATAAATAATGGGTAGGGCCTCCCTTATTTTGAATAAGTTCAAAAATTTTATCCATCACACTGTTGATCAAAATTATTCGCAAGTCTTCATCGATTGACCGCCATTCATCGATAATCACTTCTTGGAAATAAAATAATGTTTGGTATTGGCGGTTTTTTGCATAGACACGACGAGGCAAGATTCCACACATGTTCTCGATCGGATACTGGTCGGAAATTTTAATATTTTTCGATTTTAACCATACTTGAGTATGGTCACTTTTATGAACTGGTGCGTTGTCCTGCTAAAAAACGAGTCCTTGATTGTTGCTGCTTTCCCAAAATGGCAATAATTGGTCTTCCAAGACATCCATTGAATTCATCCGACAACATGGAAATGTCAAATAAAGCATTCCGTGGCTATAAAATGCTCCCAAGGTGGCGGTTACCGAAATATCGTTATTTCTTAATACAATATTTCGGTGGCGGTTCCTTAATGGCCTTGGGAGCATTTTATAGCCATTATTTGACATTTCCATGTTGTCGGATGAATTCAATGGGGTACGTTCAAGTCTTGGAAGACAAATTATTGCCATTTTGGGAAAGCAGCAACAATCAAGCACTCGTTTTTTAGCAGGACAATGCACCAGTTCATAAAAGTGGCCATACTCAAGTATGGTTAAAATCGAAAAATATTAAAATTTCCGACCAGAATCCGATCGAGAACATGTGTGGAATCTTGCCTCGTCGTGTCTATGCAGGAAACCGCCAATACCAAAGTGTATTTTACCTCCAAGAAGTGATTATCGATGAATGGCGGACAATCGATGAAGACTTGCGAATAATTTTGATCAACAGTGTGATGGATAAAATTTTTGAACTTATTCAAAATAAGGGAGGCCCTACCCATTATTTATAAAAGTTATTTTATTTTATTTAAGTTTTAAAAAATAATTTTTTCTAATTTTGTAAAAGTGCGTCTATAGTTATGCAACACCAATTTTGAAAGTGCAGAATTCGGCGAAACCATAAAGAATAAATTAATTATTTTTGTTGAATAATATGTGTTTTTGATCGTTTTATTGTGAACAATAACTTAATGGGTCCATTTTATTTGTCAACTAACATACCAATTGAATTAAGGGTGCGTCTATAGTTATGATACGCAGTGTATATGTGACAATTTCAAATTGACATTTGTTCGGTTATTGACATTAATATGTAGTTCTTGCAAGAGAACACATGATTCACATGTTAAAGAATAGAACTCAAGAATTTTCCCAATAAGTACTTCAAAAACAAATGCACTTTAAATGTATGGTAATTATTGTAACATGTCTCTGTGTGTGTATGTGTGTCTACAAATAATCATCAGGGTGCGGGTCGGATCCTTTTGTTTTTTTGTTTTTTTTTTTTTTGGAAGATATGCCAGACTAGGTTTAAAGTACTTTTTAGATACATTTTGTGCAGGGTGCCCTTATTCTTATTTGTATGTATGTACAATGATATGCCGTCGTCTGTCGTGCAGTTCGGTCATTGTTCATTCATCCCTGATGACTTAAATTCCTTTGTTTCGTGCAAATTGGAAAAAAGGAAACAGATGAATAGTTAAATAGCACGTAAAGAATGAATGGCAAAGAACCGACAATAGCAAATGATACATGTCTGTAATCGGCGATGTTCTATTCCTCGTGGGCTAAGGAAGGGCAAGTACAAAATGAAGAAAGTACCTGATGTTCTATGTTTTGGGTAGATTACTTTGGTGCGTGTGTGTACATGTGAGAGGAACTATAGAAAGGAAAAAAATAGTTTGTATTCTCCGGACTCACACTTTTCTAATTGTGTAGTATTATTTAAATTCCTATTTCTCTTTTCTTTTATTTGCCTTGTATCTACATATCTATCTTTTTTATGATTTCCTTTTTCGTGCAAAAAGAAATACGCACTTCCGTTATTGAGTTTCTAAATTATTTGAATTTTCATTTGCCTTCCCCCTCGAGCGTTGTTAGGCTTTGTTTGCATACAGACCAGGGATATTTGCCACCCATCATCTTTTGAAAATTAAATTATATCAGTAAAATTAAGTTTATATCAGTACATAAAATAATCGACATTTTGTATGGTATGCCAGCCAGCCAGTTTTACATTATATACCAGACTTTAGGTATGTGGCACATGTATATGATATGTATGCAGGAACAATATCCGTTTGTGTGGTTGTTTTTATATGTACAACAACAACAACGTCACTATATACTCCACCATCGCCATGTTTTGGAATTGTGGTAAATGAAAGAGGCAAGGGGCAAAGTAGATCGCAGTCATCGTATGTTGTTGAACTCGTTTTTAAACTTTTACACGAATACGAAAAAAAATCAACTCCAGCAGTGATAATAAAAATTACCCCCACTTGGGTACAATTATGGAAAAATGAGCACACCAATTTATAAATTAATTTACCATTAGAATCAATTGGGGTTATCAAAGGAGTTTGTTTCCAATCAATTGTTGTACACAAAAACAAAAATAAAAATTGAAATAAGGCTAAGGTATGAATTGTTTCGTTTTTTTTTCTCACAAAAACTGTATTTTTTACATTTATTATTATATTTAATAATCATATTTAATATGCTTATAAGTTCCTGCATCATTACACTATTTTTTTTTTAATAAATGTCACATCCTTTAATTTTTATTAATTTCTTTTATTTGTCAAATACCAGCAGCGTGTAATGTAAACAATCACTGCAATTCTCTCCATTTAACTATCAATAATACCCTTTTCACACTCTCTTTCGCTCTTCTCACAATGTCTGATTATTTACTGAAACAGCTGATTTGATGCGTTGTTACATTACGTTCACTACTAACAGGCAATTGCAGACAAATGTGAAAAATGCAAAAAAAATCAATTTGATGAGTAATAAAAATCCAAGAATAATAAAATTCACACATTTAATTTTATATTAAAAACAATAACCCGCAAATTTTATCACAATTTATTATTGGTATTATGGTAGGTATTACTTTAATTGTTGTTAAAGGATAAAAGGCAATTTTGAAATGTTGTTTCGTTAACACTTGAAATGGAAATGACGAAAATAAAAAAATGTAATATATAATAAAGTAACTCATGTTAAACCACTCTCAAAGGATGATTGTAGGAAGGAGTGAGATAATATTAACGAGTAGGTATATGTGAGATGTACTCAAACCATTTAAACTCTACTCAAACCGTTCCAGGGATGGAAAGTGAAATTTATGAGTATATTGTATATTATGAGTAGGATTTGAATATTAAAAAATTAAATTAAATTTTAGAATTGTGTTTCAAGGCAAAGTTAAACATTTA